TTTAGTGGTGCATTGCCTTTTATCTGGTATGTCTCCATTGTATGTAGTAAATTTTTTTGCGTCTCAAAAGATGTAAAAATTTACTACATATAAATAGTAATATTATAATACTTATAATGAAAGATGCAATAATGTTATAAAAGTAATTTTTATCTTAATTATCTAAAATATAAAGATTCAATACAGAAATATTTTGTTTGTAGTGTTGCTTTCGGATTTTTTTTTCTTATGACAACAATCGGAACACTATATGATATATTTGTGCTCCAAAAACATATATATATAAAGAATAATGAGATAAATAAAACTAATAATGACGGTAAGTGTTATGTCCAGGAGATATAAAAATGTAGGAGGTATAATATATTTTGACATTCATCTGACTATTTTTTTTACATTACGTGTAAGTACTGCTAAATTGCAAATTACTATTAAACTCCGAATTATAATTCAGGCATTGAAAACATATTCAACGAAGTGAAAAGAGAAACAGAAGTAAATTCGTTAACTGTTCGGGAAAGTAAAATTGGTAAAATACTCATATGTTTTTCCGCTTACACAAATACGAGAAAAATATTTAGCACGGAATTAGATGCCAGTACAATAACCGTTATTCATGGTTTAAAACCCCTAAGCATGTGTTGCATAATTATATTGCACGGTATATATTATGTAATGGATTCTATTGGTAAATAATTTAAAATAAATTTATCTATGGAATAAATATGTTTTAGTCTAGTGATTTTTATCTTCTTTCCATAATGAAAATTATTTTATATACACAGACAATAAAATATGGATGGCGAGACTCTTTGAGAGTTATGCCTGTTTGCATGACATTGGATTGATAGTAGTCGACATCTTTTTTTTTTCAAGCGGATGTTTGGTGACCTATTTGTATTTGCAAGATAAAACAAACGAAAGGTCAATTAAGCCGATTAATTGCAGAGACAAACTGATTGAATTCTTTTTCTACATAATAAAAAGATTTATTCGGTAAGTTTTGTCCTTATCTCGATTCGTGTAAACAAAGAAAACAATGCAATAAACATAATAATATTATTGCAATAGAGATTAAAATGAGAGAAAATGCTATAAAAAATTTAATTTTATTATAATATACATATATTAGCTAAACAGAAACTTATTTGTATACGTGTATTAATTAAAATTTTATTTTTAAGATTGACACCGGCTTACATGATGGCATTAGGAATATCACAATTGAGCTCAGCTTGGCTTGATAAAACTTCGCAATTTTACATGAATGAAAGGTCGC